AACTTTTATGAATTTGTACACCATAACGTTTATGTGGCTTAATTGTATGAGCACAACTGTACCTAATTTAAAGATTTTCGAGCGTTTAGTTGATATCGGCAAATATGTGAGTTAGGAAGCGTGTTTTTCAAATGAAGGTATATCTTTGTGCCTAATATGGATAAAATGGTGTAGAAACTTGTTTTAGACCTCATATAACTTACATACCTTATGCACCTGAAGGAATTTCACTGGCTTTGATTCTGGCAACTTGTATGAGTATAAAATGTTCGGTTACGCTCGAACTTGGCCCTTCTTTACTTGCTGATATTGTATATACATATACATATCCCTGAAATTAAGTACGAAATTTAGTCATTTTTGCCGATTATTATTAAATCAAGGAAAAACGTTAACTTCGGATGCACCAAAACCATTTTCTTTTTCGTCTTCATAATTGGCGTAGAACCGTTCACGCGATTATAGCCGAGTTAAGAACAGCACGCCAGTCGTTTCTTCTTTTCGCTACGTGGCGCCAATTGGATATTCCAAGCGTAGCCAGGTCCTTCTCCACTTGGTCCTTCCAACGTAGTGGAGGTCTTCCTCTTTCTCTGCTTCCCCCGGCGGGWAYGGCGTCGAATACTTTCAGAGCTGGAGTTTTTTCGTCCGTTCGGACAACATGACCTAGCCAGCGTAGCCGCTGTCTTTTAATTCGCTGAACTATGTCAATGTCGTCATATATCTCATACAGCTCATCGGTCCATCGAATGCGGTATTTGCCGTGGCCAACGCGCTAAGGACGGGAATTATGAGTGGCTTATAGAGTTTGGTTTTTTTTTGTCGAGGGAGGACTTTGTTTCTCAATTGCCTACTCAGTCCAAAGTAGCACCTGTTGGCAAGAGTTATCCTACGTTGGATTTTCAAGCTGACATTGTTGGTGGTGTTTACGCGGGCTCCACGATAGACGAAATTATCTACTACTTCAAAGTTAAAGACTGTCAACAGTGATATGAGTGCCAAGTCGCGAGTGCGACAACTGTTTGTTTGATGACAGGAGATATTTCGTTCACTGCCAGACCAATTTGTTTTACTTACCAATATAATTTACAAATGTACTTTTTAACAACTATATTCTAACTAAATCTAATCCAAACTTCGTGAAGAAATCTTGTCAAATAAAATTTGTTGGTAATTTTTTGTAAGGTAACTATCTTATACTTATGATATAGTGGCCGTGAAAAAATTATCACCTAATAATCCAAAAACATTCAAATATTGGTTGGGTCGCTGAAAAGGTTCTTGGGAATTAAAAGTAGTACATTATTTTCTTAGACTGCGATGTTATATTTACGCATTTATAACGGGTGATCCATGTGAAGATACTTTTTTCAATAGCCTTTTTGACAGATCCCGCGTGAGTCATGCCATGCTGTTATGTTATTTTTGTTCAGTATTGCTTAGCATTTCATCATGGAATGATATACGAATGCATAACATTTACAAATCGTTCAACTTTAATACGAAAATTCACGTTCTGTAAATAATATGTTTCGCCTGCTTCGCTCAACTTATGGTTAACATTATCGGCTTACTGAGCATACTATTCGCAATACCATCACCCATTTTGAGACCCAGCATTCATTATTGCATAATAATCGACCGAATAGACCACGTGCAACAGTGAAGAAAATATAGCGGTCGCAGCTGATACGGTGGAGAATAGATGTGGCGGCGTTCGCAGCAACTTGATCTGACGTATGGAATGACTTGGCGCATTATACCACGAGATCTTAAATTGAAAGCGGAAAAAAATTGAAAAAATGTACAAAATACAGCTAGTGCAAGAATTGAAGCCGTTTCATTGCGAAGTGACATCGCTTCGCTCTATGGGCCCTTGCAAAGTTGCAAGAAGATCCAACGTTCTCGCGCCAAATATTGTTCAGCGATGAGATCTACATATTTCTGGCTTAATGGGTATGTAAACAAGCAAAATTGCCGTATTTGGGACGAAGAGCAACCTAATGAGATTCAAGAGCCAGAAAAAACAACGGTTTGGTGTGGTTTGTGGGTCTTTAGAATCATTGGTCAGTATTTCTTCAACATTTGAAAGAGATACTCTTCAAAAAATAAATGCTAAAGAAATTTTTTTCGGATGATAATAAACATTCTCTATTAAATGTTTTATGCATAATATAATAGTTTTAAGTATAAGAGTTTGTATCACCTAAAACTAATCGGCTTAGATAATTTAGATATGTCATGCATATACTATAATACAAGTATAAATCATAAGAGTTCAAATCTGGGTGACGGACATACAGATTCGTCTGTGTAAACTGTTATCTGTATAAAAATTTACATATCTTAATGCAACTTGGTTCTCATATTTCTCGATATCGTAAGACGGTTGGTATGCAGATGGGCGTGAAGGGATCACTTCTCATCCCACAAAATGCATTAAAAGGAAGACCTATAAAGTGTCATAACTAAGCATTAAATTAAGATATAGATTTGTAATTTGACACAGTAGATCACAGTAGCTAGGGATGCCTGTGGGATAACAAATTTAATGTACTTATCTCTCAAACCCTTAAGCACTACCCCTCCTGTAAAAATGGAAGAAAATGGAAATCGGACGATTACTCCGTCTCCCGATATAAAGGTTGTGTTAAAAACTACTAAAATCAATAAATAAAAAAATGCGACAGGGACATGAAACATTACCCATGAGATAGTATGAGAGGGCTTTAAGAGAGCCGCGGTCAAATCATATGGGTTAAAGGCCATATCTCGGGTTCTATTGAAGCGATTTCAACCTAATTCGACATATCCAATGTTACAGTACGAATATGAGCGATATACAGTGTTCAAATTAAGCAGTAATGAATATAACGGACAAATCATACTATAAGGTAAGTAAGGAAGAGCTAAATTTGAGTGCACACGCCAGAATGAAAGCCAGAGAAATACTTTAAGGTATAAAACCAATCACATAGAGTAAAGTCAGCCGGATGTTGGAAAATTTTGATATTAGTTATATATGGGCTAGCCCAAGTTTTAGACCAAACTAATATATTTCTTATTTTCACTGGAATAACTCACATATCGGCCGATATGTGCGGTACAAAGTCACCCGAAAGTTCGAAATTTTTTATATTTAGTATATGGAGGCCAAGGGCGGATCCAGAGTAGATATTTGGGGGGAAGGGGGGTAGGATGGTTGAACTATGTATATTCATTTTGTACTTGCAACACAAAGCCTTTTTCTTGCGGAGTGTCACTTATGATGGAACTCTCCGTAGTTAAAGAGGGGGCTACGCCCCACAGGTGCCAATTACTACTGCGATCCTCTGTACCGAATTACAGCTTCATATCTTAGTTTAGTACTTAGTTATGGCACTTTATATGTTATCGGTTAATGACGATTTGTGGGCGGGGCAGTGGTCAGATTCCGCCCATTTACGAACTCGTAATTTTTTTTGTACTAAGGAACCGGCTTACCAAATTTTATCAAGATATCTCAATTCTTACTCAAGTTACAGTTTGCACGGTTGGACACAGCCGACGGACAGTCAACCGCATTTCAACTCTTTTCGTTATTTTAATCATTTATACATATATATATAACCTTATATCTATCTCGATTAGTTTTAGGTCATATGCACAACCGTTAGGTGAACAAAACTATATTACTCTGAAGCAATTCGTTGCAAGAGTATAAAAATGGTATGGAAAAGTTGTAGAGTCGTCATAATCAGCATATTGGCCGTGAAGGTACTATGTTGAATGAAAAAACGAATTTTTTCACAAAAATTATTTTTACTATGGTCAGCCGAGGAATTTTCAATTGACCTGTCGGCTAATATGTAAGTTATCTCAATGAAAGTGAGAAAGCTTAGTTTACTAATAACCGTGTATGTGTGGCTAAAATGAAAATCCTAAATCCTATATAACTAATGTCATAATTGTCGAATATCCAGACTTTACTCTATATAGATTTGTGATGGTATATGAGGTATCTTGAAAAAGACCAGAGAGCATTTTATTAGTATTGATATGTTGGTGGTATGTGTTATTGGCAAAAAGAGAAAAAAAATATTACCTCCAACTCCGATATGTTACCTATAATTATTTTAGCTCTTCTAACAAGTTACATATATGCCCAATATGTCGTTCAATATGTGAGTTATACGTATTTTATACAAAATATTGCTTGAAAATATGGTCTCAAATATACGTGAACAATGCAATGCAATCACCCCTTTCCTTACTTTGCTCTAATATACCCCATATAAAGATTTTTACCTGACTTTTAACCGTTCAGGTTGGTCAAAATGTGATATTTTTATAAAACTAAATGAACAAGTTTTCGTTAAAATTCTGTGGTTTAGCGCTGGTTATATTAGAATTGGTGTATACCTTAGACTAAACCTCATAAAATGAAGTCGGCTCCTCTGGTTATTGTTTTCCACATCCTCTTCTGCCGAGTTGGCATCATATGATCGTATTTTATTTACGATTTCTTCGAATAAGGGATGTTGATTTTTTTCGCAATATGTTTTAATATACTATACAGTAAACTGAAAGAATTTTCCGGGATTTGAATCTTCAAATGTTCGGTTACACCCGAACTTAGCAGCTTCTTACTTGTTAAAGTATTGCAACAATTTATTTTTAAATATATTTAGTACTATATTTATATAATTGTTTTCTTTTTTTCCCATTTCCTTTTCAACAGCGAGTCACCGACAAGACACAGGATGGAGCGCGGATTGCACGATCGTGATCGCGCTGGTGTACAAGACTTTGTGCTACTCGAGAACATTCAAAGTGAAGAGGCATTTATTGGAAATTTGCGCAAACGTTTCCAAGAGAACCTAATCTATGTAAGTGGGTAAACACTAGTGGCAACATTTATATTTACCAATCAATTGAAATACAAGGTATTTAAATGAAGAACAAAGGCAAAAAAATAAGAAAACAAGAAGATAGACACTGCAAATAAACAGCTCTTAAAATAAATGAATTAATTAAAAATAAATAAAACAAGTAAGAAAGTGCTATGATCGATTGTAACCCAATATTTTATTCTCTCGTAATTTGCAAAATTCAAATCCGTGGAAATACTTACTTTATATTAAAAATAACTTCGCGTAAGAATTCAGTGTGAATTATTTTAAGAAACCAAATTGATTGCAAGCAAAATTGGTATCTTATTAACTTATATTATTGATACTATACTTACTTTGTTGAATTGTTATATTTTGCTTTTCCATATTTTATTTATATTGTATGTACATATCATACAACCATATATAATATGATCTAAACTCAATCAAAAAGGCATTTTTATACTTTTGCAACCAGTTGTTACAGAGTATTATAGTTTTGTTCACCTAACGGTTGTACAAACCACTTAAAACCATATAAGTAAGGTTATAGATATATATAATAATTATATATATATGTATAAATGATCAAGATGACGAGAAAAGTTGATTTGTCTGTATGTCCGTCCATCATTGCAAGCTGCAACTTGAATAAAAATTTAGATAATTTATTTCTCGATGAAACTTGGTATTGGTATTCCTTAGTACAATAAAAAAATAAACGGGGATAAGCATGTCTTCCGCGATCGTCTCAAATTCTTTATAAATACCATCTGGTCTGCCCAAATAAAATTACAATACATCTTACATTTTTATGACGTTGCTTTGGAAATGGCTTAGGAATTCGGTTTTTATATTTGAGGCATACACATTTTCTTATTATTTGATGCACACATCAGATCTAGACCAAATTCCGCTTTTATTTGTCTGCAACTCTTGTGGTTATTGGCAGCTGACTGCTAAATGCGCCGTTTGCTCCTGTCATCAACGGTACCTATACGACCAATACGCTAAGTATCACCATAGTTATCTGGATTTTTCACAAAATTAGTTATTTATTCATACCAAGTTGATTAAGTCCATTAATCAATCAACGCTCCCCATCTGATAATTCAATTCCACGTGGCATTTTTCTAGAAATTCATAAAATTAAATTTAATTGTGTCGCTTTAAGTCTTAATTCATGTACTGTACATACTTAAATAGTTTCATCTCCGCTTTTTCTACTGTTATGAGATATAGGATTGCATCTGATAATGCCCTCCTTTTTAACAATTTGAAGCCCGCAAGTACTTATTACTATTATGATATAAAAACGACAATAAAAACACTTTTAATTCTTAATTAATAGTAATAAAACTGAATAAAACATAATTTTTATTGTTAATTATGTTTTTGAATATTGATAAAACTCAATTTGTTTTCTCTTTCTTGTTCGTATTTTTTCAGACTTATATCGGTCAAGTACTTATATCAGTTAACCCTTATAAACAACTGCCAATCTATGGTGATGACGATATCAAAGAGTATCGCAACAAACACTTCTACGAGATACCACCACATGTGTAAGTATTGGCGTTTATTCTAGAAATATTGAATACAGTATAGACTAGTATAAAATAGTAAAAAAGTAGAAAATCATAAAATAAATAGCATTGAATAGGAATATTATGGTTTTATTGCCGGCAATGATGTTTTTATTTCATTTATGAAACCATAAAACGCAAATATATGGAGTAAGTTTAAGCTTAATATTAATTATACGAGGTTGCCATTAATACTTCTAGACAAACATAACGAAAGTTATTATGAACAATATTTAAAAAAATATTTTAATACTTCAAAATCTGATCCATGATCATCAATACACTATTTCAATCGCTAAAAATAATTCAGAATACCCTAACCGACCCTTGTGACATCTAAAAACGTTTCGTCCTGATACGAAAGCACAAAAACATGACAAACAATTTTATCAGTATATTCAATATGTTAAAAATATGGAAAACAATCGGATTTTAACAAACCAAAAATGACTGAGATTAATGACAAGATTAAACAAGGATAGCCATTGGTGTATATATAGTTTACTCAAGTTTACTCAACATACTAATGCCGATAACCCTAAGAGGTTTTGAGAGAGATCCCTGATAAATCCAATAACAATTGTTGTGATCTGTAAAAAAGAGTTGTCTTCGCTTCCTCAAAATCTCGTTTAAAAAAATTCGCCAACAGTTCCTATTACAATAAGTAACTTTGGACGACCTTTGCGGAATGTCTGCAGCAGGAAAAGTAATAAGCAACCCTCTTAACTATTTCCAATCACTCATAATCTCCTTTATACCAGTTATAATTATAGCAAATATATTAATAAAAAAGTCTCATAAATGAATTTATAAATAATCTATACATATTTTTATTTATTCGATAACAGTTTCGCAATAACGGATAATGCCTTCCGGTCATTAATTGAAGAGAATAAAGGCCAATGCGTTCTAATTTCCGGTAAGCTAATTATTAATAATGCTAGAAATAAAATCTGATTATATATTGAGGTTGGAAATAAATCTTAAAACCTCAAAACATAACATAAAATCAAACCGATCAACTGACTTTGCTGTAACTAATTTCCAAGTATTTCCTTCGAAGATATCGACTCACTTATCTTCGATTACGCCACTCTGCAATACTGGTTTTTACACAAACTAAAATTCCAATAAAATTATGAAGATAAGATTTGAAAGCTTAGCGTCATCATACCATTGTGGAATACCAAAAAAGGGAAAATTATGCATATTTTCATTCCACAAGTACATTTCAGAGTTTTCTCAAAAACACCGGCAAAAAACTACACTGCATTCAAGTAATTGTGCCGAATATTGTCGACTAAATATTTTTCAATAATTTCGTCAGCTAAAAATTTGTTTATAAATAAGTACATATGAACATATATATATTTATTGTTCGATTAGATTTTTATCAAAATGTATAACTTTAGATATGCAGGAAAGTTATAAATATTTTTCAAAAATTCTCCTAGTAATCCTCGAAATCCTCGAAACAAATAAAATACTGGCTCTCTCGTAGTAAATGATATGCTTAAACTGCCAAAAATTATAGTACGTTCTAGGCGGAAAAAGTAAAACTAAATGTAATCGAAATAATTGTTTTTTTTTTTTTGTTTTACCCTGAACAAGGTAATCGATATTCAATTTGCAACGATATTTGTAACGAATTGGGAGTATTCCCTTGCCCTTGCACGGTGCACGAATCGCAGAATTTTCCACTTGGTGCAACGGCACAACAACAAACGCAGACAATATTTGCAATGACTGCAAAATATGTCAGAATAAAACCCATGTCTATTTTCGTGCAATGACACGTAAAACTATAATTGCAACCCTGTATTAGCTGTCATTACATAAAGACATATTTCGCCGTTAAGTTGTCGAAATGAAAGCAGAAGGTGCGACAATGCACAATAATCATTTACAATGAATTGACCGAATCAGCTGTTCATATATCACTAGATTCTGCAATGGGTGCTCTCGTGCCCTTGCACATTTCGTTATAGGACTTTTAGCATTTTGTGTGATCGTGTAATCTTAGAAGAGCAAGAGAATCCCCCTATTGTATTTCCAAAAAGAAACGCCATAGACCCTATGAAGTATATACATATCTAATTGATCAGCTTGATGAATGGAGTTGATTTAGCTAGTCCTCAGTTTTAGAAATATCGATTTGAAATTTTGCACCTGTTCTTTTCTCACTAACGGCCGATATCGGAACCGAAATGAAGTGCTTGTATGGAAAACTTTTTTATTTTACGAGATATCTTCACCACTTTGGCATATGTTGTTTTCCATGGCATCAGCGCAATCTTCAAAGAAATTGTTCAGATCGAAGCGCTATAACATATAGCTTTCATACACACTGAACGATCGGAATGAAGTGCTCCGAATATATTGTTCAGATCGGAAAACTATAGCATTTAGCTAAAGTTTTGAAAGGAATCTTTTGTATTTACAAAAGGTATTATAATATCTCAAGCAAATTGCATACATAAATTCTTCACGAAGAGGACATTGAGTTTCTGAGAGAGGCCAAATGCAAATTTAATTTGAATTCATTTATTTTTGTTTTAAAAATTTCGTACTAACTAGTATTATATAGTATAAGATGACAGTTTGTATTCACTTTTTCATTTTTCAGGCGAAAGTGGTTCTGGCAAGACTGAGGCATCCAAGAAGGTATTGCAATACATTGCGGCCTGCTCCGGTCATCAGTTCACTGTTGAAAGTGTTAAGGAAAAATTACTAAAAAGTAATCCGGTGTTGGAAGCTTTCGGAAATGCGAAAACCAATCGCAATATCAACTCTTCGCGTTTTGGCAAATATATGGATATACAATTCGACTTTTACGGTACACCGATCGGTGGACACATTCTCAATTATTTGTTGGAGAAATCACGTGTGGTTAATCAAAATGGTGGTGAACGTAATTTTCATATTTTCTATCAACTGCTGGCTGGCGCTAGTGAAGAGCAATTGAAGCAGCTGGAGCTGACACGCTCTTTGGACCATTATAACTACCTAAGCGACGGGGTAAGCATTACTTTTAACAAGAACTTGAAGAAAATTTATTAATCCTAACTTATACTTGCAGCAAAATGGTGTGGTAAAGGGCATAGACGATGCCGGCGATTTTAAGGTGGTGCAACAGGCCATGACCGTTATCGACTTCAAGCAGTCTGAGCAAAATGAAATATTCAATATTATAGCTAGTGTCTTGCATTTGGGCAATGTGAGCTTCACCGAAGCCGAAGGCATTGCGAAGGTTGAAAAATCCGCGACCGTCACCACGATCGCCAAATTGCTAAATGTAGATCAGAAGGACTTGCACGCGGCGCTTACAAATCGCACAATCGATGCACGTGGCGATGTGGTCACTTCGCCTTTGAACCGTGATTTGGCCATTTATGCACGCGATGCGCTAGCAAAGGCCATCTATGATCGTCTGTTCACTTGGCTGGTGCAGCGCTTAAATATTTCGCTACAGGCTAAGGATTTGCGCGGCGCTCTCAACAATGTGATAGGTATTTTAGATATCTATGGCTTTGAGATCTTCAAGAAGAATAGTTTCGAACAATTCTGCATTAATTTTTGCAATGAGAAGCTACAGCAATTGTTTATTGAGCTCACATTGAAATCTGAACAGGATGAATATCGTCGCGAAGGCATTGAATGGGTGTCAGTCGAGTATTTCGACAACAAAGTCATTTGCAATTTGATTGAGGAGAAATACAAGGGTATCATATCTATATTGGATGAAGAATGTCTGCGTCCAGGTGAACCCACTGATATCACATTCTTGGCTAAACTCACCGATAAACTGTCAAAACATCCGCATTACATTTGTCATGAGAAATCTTCAACGCAAGTGCAAAAGACAATGGGACGTGATGAATTCCGTTTGGTGCACTATGCTGGAGATGTCACTTACAATGTTAACGGTTTCCTCGATAAAAATAACGATCTTTTATTCCGTGACTTGAAGGAGACGATGAGTAAATCAGATAATGAAATTATACGCTCTTGTTTCCCAGCGGCAGAGTATAAGAACAAGAAACGCCCAGACACGGCTATCACACAGTTTAGGAATTCCTTGAATAATCTTATGGAGATCCTTATGTGCAAGGAACCATCTTATATACGTTGCATCAAGCCAAACGATCAGCAACTGCCAGGAATCTTTGACGATGAACTGGTTCTGCATCAAGTGAAGTATTTGGGTTTGATGGAGAATTTGCGCGTACGCCGTGCTGGTTTCGCTTATCGCAGGTTGGTCGTAAATATTTATCAGTTATTTGTACCACCTACATCTTTCAACCAAACCAATAAAAAGTAGTCGTCTTCGACGAAAAGAAATGGTTAGATGGAAGGGTGATTTAATGAAATTGATAGAGAGATTGTTTTTGTTTTTTTTTTTTTTTGCTTTTCTTCATTTAATTTTCTCCTTTAACAACGCATAAACGTATGCTTTGAATACGTAAGACTTTAATCCGTTAGGTTATTCAGATTTGGTTCAGAAAACGTCTATTGCAACAAGAGCTCTGCATCTATTATAAATTATCCGCGAATCTTTTGTTCTGTTTTGTACATTGTTTTTTTAATAGTTACTCTAAATCTATTTCAGTAGTAAGAAATTATAAGTTTCAATGTTAGGCATGGACGAAAAGTTCAGTAATTTCTTTTTTTAACGGATTTAAACCATTGAAAATAGATGTTGATTAGTAAGTAGATTTAAAAGAGCTTACAGCAATGAATTTAGTGTCATAAGGATTTTCTTTGAGGCAGAGTATATGTATATACTTGTTCAATGATCCAGGAATAGATCATTTTATAAACTCTTTCTCTTTTGCGGACTGTTTTGGTAAATAAGGTCGGGTTTTGGTTTTCTTACTTCATACATTTCGAACTTAACCGCATATATCCTGTACCATAAATTATTGATATATATATTTTACATAATTTATCGAACTCTGTTCATTAACAGAACTTATGAAACGTTCCTCAACCGCTACAAGTCGCTCAGCAAAACCACCTGGCCGAACTTCAAGGGTTCAGCTAAAGAAGGAGTGCGCATACTTGCCAACGATTTACACTATGGTCCCGACGATTATCGTTTGGGTGAAACGAAAATTTTCATACGCTTCCCCAAGACACTATTTGACACAGAAGATGCCTTCCAAGCTAAGAAACACGACATTGCTGCCATAATACAATCGCGATGGAAGGGTCTTGTACAACGTCGAAAATACCTCAAATTACGCGAGCAAATCATTACATTACAATCATATTGCCGTCGTTACTTGGCCATAAAAGCGCGCCAGCGTCGACGTGATGCAGCCACCAAGATACGCGCTTTCATCAAAGGTTTCATTACACGCAACGATGCACCGAATGGTTACAATGACGAATTCATTGCAAACATGAAACGTATGTGGCTATTGCGTCTGGCCAAACAGCTGCCCACCAAAGTTCTGGATCAAAGTTGGCCTTCCGCACCGGTACACTGTCAGGAGGCATCCACCTATCTGCATCGCTTGCACCGTTTGCATTTGGCGCGCAAATATCGCTTAAGCTTGTCGAGCGAACGCAAACGCCAGTTCGAGTTGAAGGTGCTGGCCGAGAAGCTGTTCAAAGACAAGAAGGCTAACTACTTGGCCAGTGTGCCATATTGGTTCCAGAACGATCGTATACTCAAGGAACACGCAGCAGAAATCAATAATTTTGTTGCCAATTCGTTGAATAGTGAGAGCCTGAAATATGCATCGCCATGCACAAAATACGATCGTCACGGCTACAAGCCGAGAGAACGTTTCGTGTTGCTTAGCAACAAGGCCTTCTATGTTTTAGATGGTAAGAGCTACAAGCAGAAACATCGTTTGCCATTGGAGAAAATCGATTTTGTTGTCACAAATCATAGTGACAGCCTGCTGGTCATACGTATACCACTCGAGTTGAAGAAAGATAAGGGCGATTTAATACTGGAAATACCATATATCGTTGAGTTTGGCACCATCGTAGTGGACACAGTCGGCACAGCCAATATATTTAGCATCGTTAGCCGCGATTCGTAAGTTTATTTTTTATTTATACATACACAGTTATAATTATATTAACAATGCGTTATGTAATTCTGCAGCTTGGAGCACCATGTGGTTAAAGGCAAGGGCGGCGTTATCGATATTCAGACCGGTGGCGAACCAGGCATCGTACGTGATAAGGGTGGTCATCTTGTTGTCGTAAGTTTTTATTTAAGTAGTGAAAATTGTCTTTTAATAGTAATTTATTTGCGTGAATTCGTTATTTTGCAGATTGCTGGACAATAAATAAGGGATAAAAGTACTAACCACCTTTAAAATGAAATCAGGGCTTTAAAACAATGGATGTATTTTTTATATAGTTTGTTATACATAAATTATTAGTAATTGTTATCTGAACTTTTGCTGCAGATTCATTCCAGATTTTATACAATTTTTTAACTTTACACTTATACAAACGATTTTTATTGTATGCGAAAAGTATTTACTAAAATCATATAATTTATTTCCTATAATAAAGATAATAATTGATTGTGTTAGAATGATAATAATACTAATACGTCTTTTTATTTTTTCAAGTTAATTAAATATGAAAACGTAATAGGCCAAGGGTTTGCATTAAACGGTAAAGTTTCAGTAATTTTTTTGCAGATTGTACAGTTGCCTTGAACAAAACTCCATGCCAAAAATCGTGAAAATATCTCGTCCAATAAAAAAGCTTTCCATGGGTGGAAAAGGACGTTTACGACACGAACAAATGGACGAAGATTGCTAAATCAACTCAGCCGTTACGGTAATCATTTATACAGACAGTTCCATCGCATAATGGGACAGAAGTTTTTCTAATATTAATGTGCTTCAAACAGAAAAACAAAAAAATTAAGAAGGGGCTCAGTTCGAGAGTAACTGAAAATTTTATATTCTTGCAACTTTCAAGAGTCAAAGCCCGGGAAACTTCTTCAGAGAACTCGACCGGAAAAGGCCGGAAAGGCTAAATTAAATCCATTGCGTTGATGTGGATGTGATCAACCAGTTACACCAATTTCATTCCTATTAGTTTTTTTTTAATTTTTAAGAAAGTTGACCATCTAGTTTCATTAAAATATCCACCCTTTACTGTTTAAAGTCGAGTGCTGAGACGAAAATCATTTTATTACCGGCCATCAACTCTATATTTATTTTGGGTAATGAATGACCATGTGACCCAAGATATTCGGGTTGACATTGCCTCGTTTACAATGACGTCTTGGGGGTGTACATAGCTCTCAAAGTAAGAACTAATTTTTTCTTACTTTTTCAGCGCTCTCAAACACAGCACAGCGATGGCCGCCGATTAAATCTTCACCCAATAATACTTTTATACTTACGAGTATAACTCAATTATTGGCCGAAATATCCAGCATAAAATCACCTGGAAGTTCGAAAATCTTTCTATTAGGTATATGGGAGCTCGGGGAAGTATTGACTCGATTCAAGTCGTGTGTGATACACAGACAGATATTATTGTCAGGCAAGGAAGTAGGCGTGGTTGTAGTCCGATTTCGCAATTTCGCACTGTGATATAGGAATGTGATAAGAATGCCTAAGTCGGTTCTCGAGATATGGGATTTCACCAAAAAGTGGGCGCTAGCACGCCCATCGTCCAATTTTAGCAACGGCTCTCATAAAGCCCTCTGATACCATCTCGGAAATAAAATTTTAATACCGTTAAATTGGGGAAGAAGCGGGATTATCTTCCGACTTCACCCATTTTTACAATGTCGATAGGAGTTCGTATAATATTTGAGTTTGGAAAGTCTGGTTATTGTAGCTTTAGTAGTTTAGGTGAAATTTACATTAAACACATTACAGGACGGGACCACGCCCACTTTTCCAAAATTTTGCAACTTCTATCTCCTGTGTAAATTACAGTTTTATATTTTAATTTATTGCTTAGTCATGGCAGTTTATATTAACTTGGCCTTACACTGTGAAAAATCTAGGCATGGCAAAAATTTTGTCGCTCCCGAAAAAGAAGCTGTCGAGATTCATCAGTTTCACCTATAAACAGTGCCGGGTTAAACTACCGCGGTGATTGTAGCAAATTCTGTCAAGGGGCCCTTGGTTTGCTATAGATTCTCAAGTTTAGGGTATTAATTAAAAAAAAAGTGTTACAAATAAAGTTTTCTGGATTTACTATAGGCAAATTTAGAGATATTACCTTCAATATCAAGTCATGCTCTATATCCAACAAAGTGAGATGATTAAGACGTTTTTATCCCATCGTGTACCTTAATTAATTCTTAATACATTTTAATGCTGAAAAAGATCGTTCGCCACTGCAGTTAGTAATCAAGAGAGATAAGTAAATTCGCAAAACAATTTCTAAGTTTGGGAAACACGATTCTAAAGAATTATTTAACAAAAGTTAATTAAAAAATGGAAGGTCACAAGAATATAGCTAAACAATTGTTTTCAATAAAAATATTGTAAAAATTTAATGATTATACTTATTTCCTTTTCACAGTCATGAAGCATGAAGCACCACAAAGGCGATATTTATATTCCATACGGCTAATTTTTATGAGCCTGTGGCCAAACTCCTTGATTTGATAACACTGGCCTACACTCATTTTGGTGCCTAGGATTCTAAACCTGATTTAGGGTATATTTTGTGAGCTAATACGAAAATATCAGTCAAATTTACCATATCAGTTCTCGTTTCTCCAATTTCAATACCAAAATAAGCAGAATACAAGCGAATTACAATGTTGATTTTTCATTATATACTCGCCGCATATATAACAAAACTTGTCAGGATCATTACTGCAACTACTCGACTTACTTTCCATAATAAACTTGTACTATTAATCTCACAAAAGTGATAATCAGAAGTAATACATTTTTCTTGCATACGTAATTCAAAATATAATATTAGCATTCTGTGGTTTGCTATCTAGTGATTCATGACCAGTTTATTTAATCATTAGAGCAATCTCTTTCGTGAAAGAATAGAAGGATCATCTATCATGTACATATACATATGTATTATACTTTGTTTTCCAATTAAAAAAAAAATGGTTTCTAATTTTTGGCTGAATTCAATTCGGCGTTTTCGCCAGCAAATTCATCTTGGTATTCTAACTCTCTCAACAATTGCCCATTATATATTATAAAATTTATACCGCTTCGGATGAACTAATGCGTTCTAGTTTATTTTCACCTTCAGGTTCAAATTCAAATTCACAATTATTTTCTTCTGTGGGTTCCTATTCAATCAAGTAATTGTCTTCAATCCAGTTATTTATTTCTTCTTCTAACCTAATAGATAAGAAATATTTATTGTTATTAATCATGAGTTTATTTTATTTTGAATCACCACAGGATTTAAGCCTTCGGGAATTTTTGTAGCTTCTTTTTCCAAATTTTTAGCTTTGTCTTTCATCTTTATAAAGCTTAAACCATATTTTTTCTCAACTTATTTAAAGCTCTATCTAAAAATTGTAGTAGTATCATAACGTAATGTTTTTCATTGATTGAAATGACTGCCAGCAGAGAATCTTGAAAATGAAACTTAATTAATCTTGTTGCACACTGGTCGATTTCATAGGCCAAAAATATCTTCTTCTTCTTGATTGGCGTAGACACCGCTGACGCGATTATAGCCAAGTTAACAACAGCGCGCCAGTCGTTTCTTCTTTTCGCTACGTGGCGCCAATTAGATATTCCAAGTGAAGCCAGGTCCTTCTCCACTTGGTCCTTCCA